AGCTGGGGGTTTCCCTCCTCTCCCCAGACCTCAATGAAATCCAGGATCTCTGCACCAGACCAGTATGGGGCCTCTCTCTTTTGCTAATGGCCAGGGGCCTAGAGAGCTGGCTGCAGCTGTGCAGCTGTGGGGGGCTCAGATGGAGTGCTGGGGTCTGCCATGGCAACAGGGAAGGCAGAGCAGGGCACTGCTGTGGGGCACAGTGCTAGCAGGGCTCACATCATGCCACAAGCGGCGGTTGCAGCTTTAAAGGCTGCAGAGGAAGGGGCACAGTGCTAGCAGGGCTCACATCATGCCACAAGCGGCGGTTGCAGCTTTAAAGGCTGCAGAGGAAGGGGAACTATAGAATTCTGATGAGTGTGGCCACAGTGGCCACCAAGGCAGCTGTGAGAAGCCCTGGAGGCCACTTATTTCAAAATAACCACAGCTGTACTATCCACACAAACTCTATTTCGAAATAACTATTTCAGAATAGGTGTTATTCCTCATAAAATGAGGGTTTACTATTCTGGAATAAGAAGCCTGTTATTTCAAAATTATTTTGAAATAATGGGCTTGCTCTGTAAATGATCATATTGTTATTTTGAAATAATGCTATTTTGAAATAATGCTGCAGTGTACACATGCCCTTTGAAACCAACAAACTAGCAAGATGAAACTCATGAAATTCCAAGTATGCTTGATGGAATTCGTAGGGAGCGGATTGAGAATTTTATAGAGTGGTTTATAATGCAGAATAGATTTAAGACAAGGAAAAGGCAAAAGACTTATGCAATCTGAAGAGAAACCAGAATATTAAATCGAGAACATGCTCAAAAACATGACATCTGAGATTCAAACCTGTTTTCATTTTTTGTTCATAACCCAAGTAACTACCAATCTTACACCAGAACACTGAAGTGCCTTTTCCTAATTGATTTCAAATAAAAAATGCCAGAAATGGACCCTTTATATTTGAAATATAATTTCCTGTACGCATCATACTCTGGAAGCATAATTTTCTGTTGATCTCATGTTGCATCGGCAGTAAGATTTACATTATGTGTTGCTGTACATCTTACAGACCATATATTAAAAAGTTACATTAAATAAAAGAAAGTAAACCCAAGTTTTACTGTCATTTTAAAGTGATGGAAAAAAAAAAGAATTCAGTTTACATATAGAAAAATCACTTACCCCGCTCGTCCAGTACGACCTACTCTATGAACATACTCTTCAATGTTCCGAGGGAAATCAAAATTGAAAACATGAGTAATATCTTGTACATCAAGCCCACGGGATGCTAAATCTGTAGCTATCAGTATTCGCACTCTTCCTGCAATAAGCATGTATGTAAAATATACATTGGTCTTTTATCTAGCTAATGTACAATACATAATCTATCCACCTTAAATGTTTATATGGCTCCCATTAGCCTTGTATAAGAGCACCACATAATCCAAAACATCAGCCTCCCAGCATCATGTGATGAAAGTAATTGCTATTACTACTATTTTGCAGATGGAGATGAGAGGCATAGAAAGACTTGGCCAAAGCTGCACAAGAAAACTGTAAAATAGCCTTCATTTTAATGTTGTTCTCCTAAGCAGGACATAATCATGGACCTGGTAGGTTTCAATACATAAAAACCACCACCCGCCAACATAAATTTCATATTCATATAGCCTTTATTTTAATAAAATACTGTTTTTAAAAGAAATTTCCAAAATAAGGAAGTAGTCAGCCGTACTTTAAACTGGGATCTCATTTTCACTAATGGCCATTTCAATTTGTAATGGATAAAGCACTGGTTCTGAACCTATTTGCAGCTCTGTGTTTACGGGCCACATCCACACAATATATACATTCCCCGTATGGTCCTGAGGATGTCACATGGGCCACAGTTTGAGAACCCCACTGGGATAAAGCAACAACTTCTTTCCTCTTCCTGACCATGTTTTCCTACAGCTAGTATTTGGTACATTGTGTCAAGAATCAGAGAAGTAGTCATGTTACTCTGTATCTACAAAAACAACAAGGAGGCCACAAAATTTTGCCCATGAAAGCTTATGCCAAATAAATCAGTTAGTCTTTAAGGTGCCACAGGACTTCTCATTATCTGTTTTTCATGGACATCTGCTTTATATACAAGGATATCCACATCTGCAGATGTCAATATGAATATCTGCAACTCATTTTTGCAGATACAGATGTGGATACCAATTTTGTATCTGTGCAGGGGTTTAGATATTTGGTACGTTAATACAATTACAATTAGTCCAAGTCTTACTCCCAAACAATTAACATTGAAGTTACTTTATTTTTCACTGCTACGTGTTACAAAAGCCATTATAATAATAGTATGGATATTAAGTTTTATACAGTATAGATTGAAACTGCTAGGCTCAACAGAATAGCATTGAAGAGCAATACTTGCCTTTCTTAAAGTCATCCAAAGCTTGTTCTCGATCACACTGTTCTCTGTTGCCATGAAGAGACTGAACTGGAATTCCTTGGAGACTAAAATCACTTGATAAGTCATCAGCTCTAGAATTAGATAGCGGTAGCTTTGAATACTTTAAAATAGATGAGGAATGAACTACTAGCAAGTAAGCACTCTTATGTTCATATCTATTTTAGACAAAAGCCTGTTCTAATTAAAAAGGTACTTATTGTGACAAATATGTGTTTGTCGAATGCTCATGGATGTCAAGATCAGAATGCTTAGAGTTGTTGCCTAAGTTTTAAGGGGAAGTTCAGGAGACAAACTAAACTAGAGTACTTGCAAATAATTATAGGGTCCCTATCATAGTAACAGCTCTCTCTATATTTTAGAGGCGTCCGTCAAAGTCAGTCTGTTCAAGAACTCTTCCTAAAAAGTAACAACTAGGGCCACCATATTTGGCATGCAGTTTCCTCTTATTCTAACTTAAAGCAAGGTCAGGATTCGGGGTTGGTTGCGGCAGGAAAACAGGATGTGCCAGGAATTCGATTGCTTTCCATAACATGGAAAGGGATGGGGCTGATTGAAGGGATACAATACTGCAAAGTCACAACTGAAGGCAGCTAGCACAGGGAACAGCTGTACTGCAGAGTAATCGGTGGCTGAAGCCACACTAGGAAGAGAGGATAAAGTGATTATCTTTCCTGCCTGGCCCTTGGCCCCAGCGCTGTACTGGGTAAAATGTGGAGGGAGAGAAGTGTAAGCCCCGCTGGCCCCACCACCATGCCCTCCATCCCTCCAAGGCTGGGAAATGCAGCCCTGCACTCCACCCCACAGATCCACAGGCAACACCCTCACTGGACCTGGGGAGTGCTAACAGGGATGGGCTGTACAATTCCTCCCCAATAAGGGCTGGTGCGAGGCTTCCACCCCTCCAAGCCAAACCCGGGCAAGTCTGTGTGTGTGCGCTGCCCAGGCATTGATGGTGCTGAGACCTCCTAGCGGTGCTGCCCAGGGGCAGAGGATGGTGGCTGGCAAGATGGTTAGCCCAAAAGGTAAGAAAGCACACAGCAATGGATCAAGCAGAGTGTCCACACTACCAAGCCCATTATTTCAAAATAACAGGTTGGTTATTAACACTTATTGCAAAATAGTTATTTCAAAGTAGCGGTAGTGTGGATGCTCCACTGCTGCTATTTCGAAATAACTACTCCCCAGTGCCTCCTGGAGTTCTAAGTTGAGGCATCCGCATTAAAGAAACCTGCCTCAGACTAATTTTGAGGATTCCCTGTAATGTGGGCACACTATTTCAAAATAGTTATTTCAGGAGTTATTATTTCAAAATAATTTCCTGGTGTAGACATGCCCTGGCTTTGCTCTTTGGGAAAATTCCTGAATTGTGCCCTGCACATGGCCCCCGGGTCTGAATACAGCTATTTGGTGGGAATGGTACATTTGGCTGCAACCACGTTAATCCCTGACAGGATTAGAGACCAGAGGCAGTTTACATATACAAGATGAACTGGTGAAGGGAAAGTCCTCCTCCTCCTCACTGAGGAAGGGAAGTGCTATCCCTGGAGGAGAGGGAGGAATGTCATAAGTCTGGAGGGAAGGGTGGGAATAGGCCCTGTTGGAGAAGCAGAAACTTAGGACTGTCAAATACCAACAGGTCCTTAGGGTATCTGAAGTCTTGTGGCAGGGAAGAAGCATCTCAGTGCCATTGCAAAGCCCGGTGCCAAAGAGAAGGTGTATGTCCCTGAAATTTCAGAAGATGGCGCCAGAGACTTGGACAACGCTGAAAATTTCTGTGTCAATGATTTGGTCTGTGCAAATGCATTGGCTGGTGACAATGATTTTGATGGTGCTGAGAGCTTAATGTGCCAATGCCTTCACTGGTGCCAGAAACAGCATCAATGCCATAGCTCCTGCAAGCAGGATGCCTCAGTCTCCAGAGCTGGGAAATGGTGCCAAGCTGTGAAGGTATGCCCAGACAATTTCTTTGAGGTAATACCAAAGGTACTCGGACAATCTCTGGGGCTATATCCCCTATCAATGGAGGCTGAGGCCACTGACTTAGCTAGGGATAGTGTTCTGATGGGCCACGCCTCAGAATGTGAAGAGAAAGACAGTTTCTTGTCATCCACACAATTACAGAACTCTCTTTACAGGTTTGGAGAGTGGAGGTCCGCAGATGACCTGGTAATGGGTGAATCTCTGGGGAAGAAACCGGAAACAAGTCTAATGCTGGACACAGTGATTTCAAGAACACAAGAACATAAGAACGGCTGTACTGCATCAGACCAAAGGTCCATCTAGCCCAGTATCCTGTCTGCCGACAGTGGCCAGCACCAGGTGCCCCAAAGAGGGTGGACCGAAGACAATGATCAAGCGATTTGTCTCCTGAAATCCTTCTCCAGCCTCTGACAAACAGAGGCCAGGAACACCATTTCTATCCCCTGGCTAATAGCCTTTTATGGACCTAACCTCCATGAAATTATCTAGCTTCTCTTTAAACTCTATTATAGTCCTAGCCTTTATAGCCTCCTCTGGCAAGGAGTTCCACAGGTTGACTACACGCTTTGTGAAGAAGAACTTTCTTTTATTGGTTTTAAACCTGCTACCCATTCATTTCATATGGTGTCCTCTAGTTCTTCTATTATGGGAACTAATAAATAACTTTTATCGGCCCTCTCCACACCACTCATGATTTTATATACCTCTATCATATCCCCCCTCAGTCTCCTCTTTTCTAAACTGAAAAGTCCCAGTCGCTTTAACCTCTCCTCATATGGGACCCGATCCAAACCCCTAATCATTTTAGTTGCCCTTTTCTGAACCCTTTCCAAGGCCAAAATATCTTTTTTGAGGTGAGGAGACCACATCTGTACACAGTATTCAAGATGTGGGCGTACCATAGTTTTATACAGGGGCAGTAAGATATTCTGGGTCTTATTTTCTATCCCTTTCCTAATAATTCCTAGCATCCTATTTGCCTTTTTGACCACCACTGCACACTGTGTGGAAGTTTTCAGAGAACTGTCCACGATAACTCCAAGATCTCTTTCCTGATTTGTCGTAGCCAAATTAGCCCCCATCATACTGTACGTATAGTTGGGGTTATTTTTCCCGATGTGCATTACTTTACACTTATCCACATTAAATTTCATTTGCCATTTTGTTGCCCAATCACTCAGTTTGGTGAGATCTTCTTGGAGTCCCTCACAGTCTGCTTCTGTCTTGACTATCCTAAACAGTTTGGTATCATCTGCAAACTTTACTACCTCACTGCTTACCCCTTTCTCCAGATCATTTATGAATAAGTTGAAAAGGATTGGTCCCAGGACTGACCCTTGGGGTACACCACTAGTTACCCCTCTCCAATCTGAAAATTTACCATTTATTCCTACCCTTTGTTTCCTGTCTTTTAACCAGTTCTCAATCCAAGAAAGGACCTTCCCTCTTATCCCATGGCCATGTAATTTACACAAGAGCCTTTGGTGAGGGACCTTGTCAAAGGCTTTCTGAAAATCCAAGTATACTATATCTACTGGATCCCCCTTGTCCGCATGTTTGTTAACCCCTTCAAAGAACTCTAATAGATTAGTAAGACAGGATTTCCCTTTACAGAAACCATGTTGACTTTTGTCCAACAAATTATGTTCTTCTACATGCTTCACAATTTTATTCTTTACTATTGTTTCGACTAATTTGCCCGGTACTGAAGTTAGACTTACCGGTCTGTAATTGCCAGGATCGCCCCTTTTTAAATATTGGTGTCACGTTGGCTACCTTCCAGTCATTAGGTACAGAAGCTATGATTTCCCTTTACAGAAACCATGTTTACTTTTGTCCAACAAATTATGTTCTTCTACATGCCTCACAATTTTATTCTTTACTATTGTTTTGACTAATTTGCCCGGTACTGAAGTTAGACTTACCGGTCTGTAATTGCCAGGATCGCCTCTACAACCCTTTTTAAATATTGGTGTCACGTTGGCTACCTTCCAGTCACTAGGTACGGAAGCCGATTTAAAGGATAGGTTACAAACCACAGATAACAGTTCAGCAACTTCCTATTTGAGTTCTTTTAGAACCCTTGGATGAATGCCATCCGGTCCCGGAGATTTGTTAACATTAAGTTTTTCTATTTGTTCCAAAACCTCCTCTAATGACACTTCAATCCGGGACAGTTCCTCAGATTCATCACCTACAAAGGACGGTGCAGATTTGGGAATCTCCCTAACGTCCTCAGCCATGAAGACTGAAGCAAAGAAATCATTTAGTTTCTCCGCAATGGCTTTATCGTCCTTGATTGCTCCTTTTATAGCTCAATCATCTAGGGGACCCACAGGTTTTTTAGCAGGCTTCCTGCTTCTAATGTACTTAAAAAACATTTTGTTATTGCTTTTTGAGTTTTTGGCTAGCTGTTCCTCAAAATCTTTTTTTGCTTTTCTTATTACATTTTTACACTTGATTTGACAGTGTTTACGTTCCTTTCTATTTATCTCACTAGGATTGGACTTCCACTTCTTAAAAGATGCCTTTTTGTCCCTCACTGCTTTTTTTACATGGTGGTTAAGCCACAGTGACTCTTTTTTAGGTCTCTTGCTATGTTTTTTAATTTGGGGTATACATTTAAAAAAAAGCCACAAAAAAGTTTTAATCTAATGTCCCGGTCCTTGCTGGCTAAGGCAGTGGGAACCCTGGTCCCTCACCCAGACAGTGAATACATTGCAAGTGGTCATCTGTTATTGAGAAGGCTGCTCTCCTCAAACTCGGGAGAGCTAGGGATAAGGGTGAAGGGAAAAGGCTTTCTGATTGGGAAGGGCAGGATAATGGAAATCTTTAGTTAAAACAAGATTTATTTATTTACTGATAGTATTTTCCTCCTTTTCTTTCTCCTAACTCCACTATCCAGTATGGTACTACCTATGAGGGAATAAGAAGCAGGCTCTGGTCTGGGATAGAATCTACCAGTAAAGGCAGTGGTGAGAAGGAACTGAGTGGTTGGACTTAACAGTGTTATATGTACATCCTGCACACAGCGTCAGAAAGGGGAGGCGTGCACTTTGATCACTTTTTAAAATTACCAGTTCACTACAACATTCCTTTGATCTTTACATGCTAAAATGTCCATAAGTAACTATTCTATAGTCACTAATGTTTTAAGGAATGGAAAGATGTTTGCAACACTGTACAACTTTTAGACATCAAGCTAGGTCAGAGATCCATGTCATGTTTTCCTCATATGTCGGATCCGCACATATGAACGGGGCTTTCTCGCCCCGGAGCTCACAGGCAGCGGTCAGCCACCTTGACCTCTGGGGTGAGAAAAGCTGCTCCCGGTGCCCCTGGTCTGCTGGGGACCGTCTCCAGCAGACCAGGGGCATCGGGAACAAAGCAGCAGCCCCGGTGGGTTCCCCTGCTTCTGAGGCTTTGCTAGAGCAAAGCCTCAGAAGCGCGGGACCCCGCCACGGCTGCGGGGTTGCTCGCG